AACTGTAACCATTTTAAAGAGTTTACCATCAGCAAACATACATACACACATTTTCTAATTCCACACTACTGAATCAGTCTAGCAATATTAACACAAAACAGAACAGTTTAGAGAAATTTCATTTCACTTTGAACGAATTTTCCAAGTCATCATAAATATGCTGATACCGAAGTAAATACCCTTTCCAACACCAGCAAGTTGTATTTTTAAAAATTAAATCAGATTGCAATTAAAGCTAGCCATACATCTCATACTTTCCCAAATCTTCCAAATTAATGTTATCCTAAAAGCCATTTAATGCCTCTGGCAGATGGAGATGGGGAGAAATCAAGAATGCAAGGATAAATTATTGGCTCTATTTATTAATTCAGTATAAATTTTGCCTCAGCTGTCATATCCATTTTCATGAATATCTGGCCATACCTATGCATCTCAACGTGCTGAGGAATTAAAGTAGCTTTGAAATGGTGATGCAGCCAAAGCAACTACATACCACACCACACTTGCTGCAGCACACCTATGCGTAAAGTTATAACCAAAGGTGTAAAGCAGGCAAGTGAAGGCTTTCCCTCTGCTCTGTTTCCACCACAGGACGCCAGTGGGGAAGTAAAGGCAGTTTTTGGTGCAGGAACCAATGACCCTGCAAGGCTTTGCCCTGGCAGCCTCCAACAGAAGAACAACTCCCAGAAATCTTTCCTTCATGGCTCTCCTAAATTCCCCTTCTCTCCATCTCATAACAATGAGATGGCCAGATCTTTGGTCACCATTTTGTGTTGCTGCATTCTTTAAATAGGCTGTAAAAAATAAAACTCTCTGATTTCTATCTTCCTCTGAATACTGAAAACTGGGTTAAAAGGCTAAAATTAAAATTTTAGCACTTCAGATTAATTTGTCTTTCTTCCACTATAGAGGTTTCTGATGCTAAGTTGAGCTTAGCCAACTACTCAGCTTTTTCTTTATATTATTACTTTTTTCTCCAGCTTTTTATCATTTTTATTATCAAATCCTTTTAGAAATCACCATTTTGAAACTGACAAGCTGATCAAAATGCATTAATATAGTAGTAGATAAAGAGAAGACATATGAAAACAATAAATGACAGCTTCTTTTTGTGTTCAGGTGACTGCAAAATCGTCTTTGAACTTCACATTGCTTGCAGTGGTCTCTGACCACCGGGAATTCAATCCATATGAAATATCCTAACAAAATATTTCTACCAGCATTCAACATATCCACATCAACAGCATGCAGCTTCAGAGGTTGAGATTAATTCTAAAGAATCACCGAATATACTACTATAAATGCATTCTGGAAAAATACCTAACATTTAGAACAGATTTCACGTTTCTATTTAGTATTATTACAAAACAGAGATGAAAACACAAAAACCAGGAATATTTTAAAGGCCATATGAACTTAAAATTTGGTAAGTAACAAACGTGGGAGTTTTTTTAATTAAAACCTAATAGGTAATCAGTTTTGCAGCCTTGTAATACTTAGAAAACTCCACTATCTGGCACAGTGCTTGCTCCTTTATGTGCTCAAGGAGAAACTAACATAAGCCCTCACACATTTTCTCTTTCTATAATTTACAATACTCAAGTCCAAGAACTGCTTCTGACTTTCATTGTATATAAGCAATCTCAAACAGCTTTACTTGGTGCCTAAGCTTGGCCCATAAATGTGATTTTCCTGCTGACAACACATGAAACAAAAACATGATGTTTGCTTCGCGCATTCATGCGCTGCTTTTTGAGAACAGAAAAGCATTTTTAAGTTTGTCAGTTAAGCAAGCTTGATACAGGGCTGGGAGGAAAGAAATCTGCAACAAGTTTACGATGTTTTTCACATTAGAACAACACTTAAAGCATAATGATGTCATCTTGGCTCCACCAAAGTCAGCAACAAAGCTGCCATCTACTACTATGAAGCCAGAACTGCAATTTTGCACCTTCCTAAATATAGCAGGTAAGTGAATGCCAGATCTCACAGATTTGCTTTACCTGCAAAAACTCGAGTCTTCTTGCTCAGTCTTCAAAAAGTCTTTTTGGTGGGCTTGCACACAGAGGGCAAGCAGACTTTTGCAACACAGAAACTGTTGAAAATTTCTGACCCAGCCTGAGGCATAAGCTCAGCCTTTCATTCAGGCTGGTTGCTTTAAGATAACTTTGACTTGACACTGACAGGACCATAAACCTTAAGGGTCACACAGATGTTATACACAATGAGCAGGTTTTCCATTATTACTGTTGTTATATAAAAATAGGTTTTCTATATGGCTAATGGAGAGTGGAAGAGCAAGAACCATCTGCACGTAAGCCTTTGTCCTCTGTCTTTATGTTAGTGAAGCCAGATCAATCTGGTAAGGTATAAGATTAAATTAAAAGTCACTATTGCAATCTGAATAAATTAAACCAAACCTTTTTTTAAAAGATTGAAAATAGTGTAGCCATGACTTTGATTTATCATAGCTTTAAGCCTGGTAAATGCCCCTCAAAACAGATTTAAAAGGCATGGCTTGTGTTCAGAAGAAGATATAGGTTAAAACAAGGTAGGATAAAAGCAAGTATATGAAGAATGTATATGAAGAAAGCAGCTGAAAGTACATGGTGCCACTTCTAATAGAAGCTGTTGACACAAGTAAAAGCAAGGTAAAGTGAACGTAGTCAGGTAACCATTTAGTCTCATCAAACACAGCCCATCATGAACATCATCCTATTTTTGACAGTGAACTGGTACTTCAGACTATTTTAAAAAAATTAATTCATTAATGTTCCCGTACTGGTGACTGAATGTCCAGTGGTCCATGACATGGCAACTTTCGATATTCACAGATGATGCATTTCTATTTACAAACCCTCATGGAACGCTTTCATTTGTTTTTAAACCCAGGGTTACTTTTATTTCACCCAACATCTAACAGACACAAAATTAGGTTAGGCTGCACTTTGTTTGATTGTATTTAGAAAAGAGAGTCTTAGCAAACAGATTGAGCAGGGTTACGTCCCTATCCTAAAGGTCCCACTAAGTGACTTGCCAAGTCCTCAGTGCCCCAGGCAGGGCAGTTTCAACTCGTCACATGCCACAATACCAGTCTGTGCAGGCAGGGTGAGAGGAAGACTGCTCACCCACAAAGCAAGAACAGAGGTAGGAAAAACTTTATGCACATCACTACTTTTTAATCTAAGAGTAAGAGTAACAGCAGAAAAGCAGGACTCCAGTTAGAAACCACAGGCAGGGTAGAAAGCACAGTTTGATGTAACATCCCAAAAATACTTAAGTGCATATCAGCCCAATCAGGAAGTATTGTAAATAAAGTGGGAGGGAAAAAATAATTATCTTTTCACTCCAAATGCAAATTTTTATTTAGAGAAACAACTTACAACTTGAGGCAGAAAGAAAAAAGGACTTAACAAGCAGTATTATTTAACAGCAAGATATTAATGGCATGTATCATGTTTTACTATAAATTTCATGAGACAATGGAGACACTTGAGTTTTAACACAGATCTTAATTATTAAAGGTATGTTTGCACTGTCATATGGATTAAATAGCAGAGTAAAACATACTTAGAGGCATTTTAACACACACTATTTCAAAATTAGGATTATCTTCTACTTTTTGAAGCCCTTCTCTCTTTCTTTATTCATAAAGTCCATGACTATTACTTTTGGATATATTACAATCTTCAAAAATAAACAGGTAATAATTTTTTTAAAAATTAAGGAAGGTTTTGAAAGGACACAAAAAGGTGCATGATAAAGAAAGCAAAGGTCCAGAGTGGAAAATCAGCCTAGAGCAGACCCTGACACATCTTCCAAAACTCAGCTTTAGCATACTGAACAGCTTCAATTCACTTATTTCCATGAGGAGAGGGAGAGAAAAGAAAGGTATGCAGAGATAGGGTTTGGCAAAGTCATAGTCAAATCCCTTAAACACAGGAATAGGGAGACAAAAAAAGCATATAAAACCAAACAACTCTCCTTTCCCATGGCAACAAATAAATAGACTCACACCCTAATTGTAAAGATTAATATTGTCATCTAGGATAAATTTTATGTGTAGGGAAAACAAAATCACCCTGTATATTCTACTAAAAAAAAGAATCAAATGCAGTTCCTTATATACATACTTAAATACATATTTTTTGATTCCTGATTTGAAATGTCCCTCCTAATTTTCCAAATCCTTCTGTTACTTCTTGTGCATAAAACTATAGGCACAGGGGTGGAAAGCAGTGATTTTTGTATTGTACTGCAACCTCAGCTGGATCACCCTTTTTTAACAAACACTCTTAAGCAAAAATACTAACTTTAGTTATCCCAAACAGAGGGACAAAAATACTGTCAGAGAGGGAGAATTCAGGATAGCAAGAAGATGAAATTTAACTTTGAATATAACCTAATATTGCCACAAAGAAGGTGAAAACTATGGAAAGCTACATATCTGCAATCCCACTGCCAGCAGTCAGTGACAGGAGCTGGGCTCTGACGTGGAAGGCAAGTGAAAAAACTGAATTTGAGACAGTATTTTTCTTCTCCTAATTTGTTATAGAGTTGTCAAAACTGAATAGTCTGTGTTCAGAAATAACTCCACTGATAACTGTAACTCACAGAGGGGATAGTCTAGACTGCTGCAAATATTAAGGCATGCATGATATCATCAGCCTTTTTTTTTTCCCTCCTCCTCCTTTTTCAAGTTAACATTGTAGGAACCATGCTCAGAGATGAATCCAAATTCTTCAGATCCATCTATAATATATGTTTGGATCTGTTCTTTTTAGGAGGTTGGGGACAGAGTGAAAGAAGGTGGTGGTGGAACTTTTCAAAATTAATATATTTTATCTGTGGTGTTTCATGTATCTAAATTAACTTCAGGGAGAAAAGGTTATGTTTTAAGTCTTAAAAATCTGGTGAGACCATAATTAATTATCTTACTTGAAATACAGACTTAACAAATAAGACGTGGAGGAAGCACGGCCCCTCCTTGGCCTGCGTACCTGTGTCACTTCCAGATCCAGTTGATAACGCTGGCATGATTGAGTCTGCAGAGCGTCACGCAGAAACCTCAAACCAGCGCTGCAGCCAGAAGGCAGAAGTTTATTTCACTTTAACTGCTTGCAGCCAAGTAGTCTACAAAGATTTATGTTATCTCCCAGCTTCTCCTAGAAAGAACAGAAATAGAATTTTACAATTAAGAACATTGTTAAACTGTATATTACTGCAGCTAATCAAATCCATTGATTTTCATGAAATAAGCTTTTATTTAAGATTCTCTAAACCAAGCACTAGGCATTTATTTATGACTGTTAAGATTTTTGTTTCCTCCAGGTGAAACAAGTTTTGTTTTCTTCAGTCCAGCCTATAATCCCATTCTACATTAACAATAATTTAACACATTTCTCATGTGTAAATTATACTCTTTAACTCCAGCATGTCAGGCATTTTGGAAATAAAGCCTAGGGGTATTTTATTAAAACTGTGAATAATTGAGGGCATTCAAATTTTTCTATTACTTATCTCAGGGAAATAAAATTGCTTACTAACATGGTAATTTATTCAGTGTTTCTATTAACCTCATTTCAATTGTTTTCAGACCATTTAAGATTTTTGTTTGCAATCTGGAAATATAATTTAAATTTTAACTGAAGTTATAAAAAATAGGACTGGAGCAAATACTTTTCTAAGGTAAATAGCAGTTTGATTCGTGGAGTTGATGGAGCCATTACCATGTAAGGAATATTTCTGTGATTCATTATGACAAAGTTAGTGGTTTTTTAACACATATTTTGTAATAATTGTACAGGTCTACTGATAGTAAATTTTAGGTCTTTCTTTCAACCACTTTTTGAGAAAAATTCAGAGTACATGAAACAAAAATTAAAATTAATGTCAAATGGAAGTGAACGCATTTGTATTCAAGTATGTTAAAATATGAAACTGGAACGCAAATGTACAAAAAGAAATTCCAAGTTAAGACAGCAAATGTCTCCTTAGAGCAGGGCAGGGACTGATGTGTTTGCAGGGAGAAGGAAGGGAGAGAGGAAAGTAGAAGCTACCAGAAAATAAAGATTTTTTTTCCAGACTTCAGTAAACAAAAAGGATCCTTGAAGAAAGAAAGCAGCATAGTTCTGCTTTAGCAAAAGAAAATAAACAAACAAAAGAGCATTTTTGCTGCTGCTATTGCTGGTTTGAGTTTTGTTGGTTTTTTTAAAACACATTCATATTAATCAGAATGACTTTTGAAGTCATGTTGGCTCTTAAAGTGCATATTTTGGACCCATTTTAACTTGGCAGCAGTCTTGTGGAAGAGTGATATACAGGTGCTGTAAACAGTGTACGCTGTTTAAAATTTTGTTTTTCACTGAAAAGAATCTCCACATGGCTGAAAATATTGCAGCATACTAATGGCCATCCACAAGATTTTGTTTAATAAATTTTAAAGCAATAATTAGATATAAGTTAGTTGTTCACTTGTCCCCAGGCATAAGCCTACAGTTTAAATAGTCTGGCAGGTTTTTTTAAGTACGGGGGGTTTTTTATGTCCCCCAGACATTTACCCAGTGAATCTGGGTGGTTTGGTTAAGAAGGCAAATACTGCAGAAGTTACCTCCCTGGACAACTTCTTCTGGGATGAAAAGAACCAAATACAAACCTAAAAGCTTATCTGTTAAGATTGTTTAGGGTTTAAGGATTTTTTTAAATTATATAAGTTTACAAAGAAAATAAAGTTTTCAGTAAAAAAAAAAAAATCAGCTTAAAAAAAAATTATTTTGACATTCATCAACTCAGCACAAAAGTCCATTAACTTACAATTTAAAGCACGGATAAAGAAATTAAGTATTCCAGAGTGAAAGCTCATCTTATGATGACAAGAGCTGTAAAACATCTATATGTAAAGCTAGCCAGGGTGCAGTTTAAAAGAGGAAAAAAAAAAAAAAAAGACATCATAGCCAAGGACACATTGTACCAATTAAGATGGAACATATTCACTTTACATTAATTCTGCTTGTTTTCTGTTTAACACATGAAGAAGGAGTCCTGTCCCAAACCCAGTGACAGTCCCCAGCGCGAGTACACCAGAGCAGCCGTGTGAAGGAGAGAGGCATTTTTAATACGTGTAAGAAACTGGTTAAACAAAATTATTGATTACTAATGAAACATCTTTGATTTACATGCATCTTAAAGTACTTTCATCTATTAAAAAGAAAAAAAAAAAAAAAAAGAAAAACCAGAAAAACACCAAAATCAACCAATCAAGGTGTTCTCATTATAAGCACATTACTATTAACCAGAAATTCAGGGTCCTTAAAAAGAGTTCACTGCAAAATGCAGAAAACCTTGTTGATCTACATATATGAGATGTATTTCCATAATTTTATTTTTCTTTATTTCACAGTAAATCATTCAGTACAAAAAAAAAATCAAGCTCCTCATTATTTAAGAAACCTATATACAGCATAAAGTTATTGCCCCCTGATCCTAAATATATATTAATGAAAAATAAATGACCTGATGAAATCCTTACCAGTAAAATGCTTAATATTTTGCTGGAATGGGATGGGGATTTTTTTTTTTTTCCTAACGTGCAAATTAAGCTACATTTTTGCAGTGATGATGCTATTTTCTTTGGCTCACTTCATTTAAAATGCTTTGGAAGTTTTTGCCGGAGCCCAGCCATAGGCATTGCTGACTGCTGTATGGAATCGATTTGCTGCAACACAAAAATACCAGCTGTTACAGTATGTCCTGAGAGGGATTACCGAATATTCCTAAATTGAAGTTCAATCCATCTTTCCATAAAAATTAGGAGCCAGGGCCAGGAACGTAACAGCAGTATCAAGTGCACCTGAGGCATTTACAATACCCAGCAGAACTGTTACAACCAGCCTTTAAAAAGGGCTTATTTTTGAAATTTCATTATTCCAGTTGTACCTTGCTTCTATAGATCGCACCGTATCGGGTTCTGCTGGCACCCGCCGCGTGGAAACAGCGCCGCCCGCCCGGCCCCTCACGGCTCCCGCCTGACCCCTGGCGGCCGCGGGGGGCGCCGCGCCCGCCTCGCTCCCCACACGCTGCGGGCAGCAGGCCCTCGCGAGGGCTACACGTGCCTTCCTTGCTTCTGCTTTTAATTGTTTTAATGCAAATGGATTGAGATGAAATAACAAAACGCATAATTTTAATTGTTTCTGCCTGTGTTTATCTGCATAATGAAAGACATCTCTATTTTAAGGCGTTCTGGTTGAACGGCAGGTGTTGGGGGGGGAAAAAAAAGCTTCGGCTGTAAAAAGCGCAGAAATGCTCCTGTTTTCCAGCAGCTCCCACACGCTGTAGGATCATCAAGCCAGACACAGCTCTGGTCACCATCACCACCAAGGTCATTACAGTGACATTACTCACTAGGGTGACGGGCCCCGGATGCACAAGGTCAGGAGTGGGGCAGAAGCCTCCCAGAAGCACCATCCCAAACCACAAAATTCTAGAATTACAGCTCTCCAAGGGAACCATTTTTCTGCATATCCCACATGTAAGAGAGGCCCCTTAGCAAAGGATGAGGGATAAATCTTGTTGGCGATCACTCGCGTTGTGAACACAGGACTGGTAAGAACAGGCAGAGGTCGGGCAGATAAAGCAAGCAGGTGGGAGGCAGCTGCAGAGTGCCAAGATGAATGGCCTTCCATGTAATTTCAGCTTTAGTAGCTTCTTTCTAGCATCCTCCAGCATCCTCTTTGGAATTGAAATGACTCCATGAGTCATGGATACACTTTATTTCAGTCAAGTTCATTCTTTGAGAAAAGATGAGGTAGAAAAGCTAATTCAAATTTGTACATATGGCAAGTTGGAGACAGAACACATGATGTCTTGGTTCTACCTCAGACTTCCCACACAAACCCCAATAAACTCCATAATATTTATTTCTGAAAGGATATTTTACAAGTTACCCAATATTTTGGCACTTTAATGAATATAAATTGATTTTCTTCATATTTGAAAAGCAGACTGAAGACTTTTGATTAATTGATAACAGATAAAAACATTAAAAGTATGAACATAGCAATGCTACAAATCAGGAGGCGGGCAGGCTGGGGATGGGACACATAAACCCAGGCTGTTAGATACAAGAAACATACAAGCTATTTTTCTAAAGGATGCTACAATTATGATGACTATAACCTTGATCTCCAGGACTAAACCAGAATGTCTGCAAATGGTATTCAAACTACCAGATAGAGATTTCATGTGGAGACAGGAAATTTGACAGCCAGTCAGTCTTGTATTCATTATGGGGCCTCAAGTAATTGAGTGACTACAGACATGTATACAAGACTCCAAAACCCAGTGAGCACAGGAAATTGCCAAGGGGGGTTTTCTAGACTGGGAGAAGTAAATTTGTTTCAGTAGACAAAATCTGAATTGAAAATGGTGGTGGACTCTTTTGGAAGCTGTAATGTAAGGGGATCTAGTGAATTTTTAAACTCTTCTGGAAAAGGTTTCACCTCCTTAATCACACGGTCTCCGACAGGCTACTGGAACCCGCTCGTGGCTCCTGACAGGCTTCCAAAGCTGCTCAGCCACCCCTACACGCAGTACATGCTTGCTGGCAACAGGAACCTTCAAAAAATCTTCAACGTGAATTACTGCGTAGAGGACATGTGCATAAACATGATGGGTCTTCAAAGATGCTGCAGAAGAAGCTACCTCTGACTCACTCAGCTGTGCATGTAATGAAAATTAAAACTATCACAAGGATCTCTCTGTATGAAGTCCATTTAAAAACTTCAGAAATATCTATGGCAACTACCAAATGTTATTAACTAATACACCAACACAGAAAACACCAACTGCCCCAAACTGGAAAGGTCAACAGCTGCCTTCACTAACTCTCTCATGGTCTTGTCTTTATATCAGTCTTCAGCCATAAGAAAAATTAAAGGCTTCTGCATATTTTTCTGTATAATGTTCTATCAGTGTTCTCCATTTTATTTAGGTTACACCATAGATATGTTAGAAAGAGCCTCACTTTGTGAAAAGACTTTGAGAACAGTAGATAATTTAGGCACTCTTAAGCATCCACTGAAAATGTGTAACTGCTTGGCATTTAATTTATACATTTGTGGTTACATCTTTAACAAACAGCAGTTTGGGAAAAAAACTTCTAAAATCA